TTACTTTCCGGACTACTCGGCGGATTTTTGGTACTGGCACATGATCTGAGTCAGAAGATAGAACAATTACCTCTGCATCACCAGTGTGGCTAGCTTCCGCATCATCCTGATAATAATCATTGTTAATGAGGTGTATGAAGAAAGAACCAAGAGAGTCAAGTTCTACCTCTGACTCCAGGTCATCAAGCTCTTCATCATTTGGCAGGTCATAGGCCTCGGTGGTTCTCTTCTTCGGGGGTTTCTTCGTAACCCTGGTCTTGGTGCGAGGTGCTCTCACTGGTTCGTCCTGCGGCTTCGCCGGTTTATCCTGCGATTTCCTCTTCCAGAACGGATCATCACCCTGCATAGATGGACAACAAATTATAAAGGAATTTTTAAGAGGGGACGGATTGAGACAAGAATGAGGCAATTCTTACAGCTGGCGGTTTGTTGGAAGTACAGAAGGGACTGAGCCCTACTTTGCTGCATACAGCCACCAGTTCATCAAGCATTTTCTTGACAGATTCGGTGACCTCATCATAAGTGAGTTGGATGTCAATATGATGCTAAGGGTCTTCCAAATCCCCTATGTATTCACACATTAAACCGGGGCGCCGGCTTAATGGCATAATGCTCCAAGAAACCCAGCACCGAACGAAGTCAATGCCTATCAGACCGTTTGCAACAAAAGCTCTGAGTTTTGATAGCTGAGGGGCGTATTTTGATTGTTCCTTGGCAGTCAGTCGCTGAGGAACTGAATGCTCTCTGGTAAGCCGGTGTGCATGGTAGCCCGGCAGAGGGTTCTCATCAGGTGGAGATGTATCACGGCAGTAAAACCAAGTCTGATTCCAGTCCTTGAGATGACTATGATGCTTGGCGTGAGGGAAGCTGACATCTTTCCTCTTCTGGATTGAAACCCCTCCCAGCTCAGTGTTAGGTCCATCTGTGAACTCGGTACGGTGGTTCAAATAGAAGTAATCTCTGAACAGCTCAACAGTGGGTTCTTCTTGCAGACAAGCCTCACAAAAAACTTGGAAGTTACAAATATTGGACACGGAGTTAGTTCCAATATCTTGAGGGTGGATCTGGAAGCTGGCAAGAACGTCATGGAAGAACTTTGAACCGGGCGGGATAAACCCTCGACCCAGATGGTCAGCAAAAAACAACCACCTCTCCATCCTTGGGCTCAGGAGGATTTTCTAGTCCGGGAACTCTCCGGTGTATGACTTCCTTCTTCGTTAAAACGCCAGTGGCAACAAGCCCATCTAACTATGCTTCAGTAACTCGGGAAGGGACCCAATTGCAAGCATAGAACTGTTTGGTCATTTTAACGACAAGCTGAAAAAGAGGATCAATGCCGGTTTAAGACTCATGACTGACACCTATAAATCGGCGCAAGGACGGAGGGAGAAAGCATTGAGACATATGCACATGTTAAACCGAATTTTGACAATAAAGGCGAATTGGCGGTTTAAGAGAGGGCTAATGGTACCTGGCGGATTATCATTTTCTAAAGGTTAAACCGCCTACAATGGTATGAAAGTCACAGATCTGAAAATTGCTAAGTATTGCACAAACAGGTTCTTACAGGTTGGTGTTATAATACTGGATCTACCGCAGTGCAAAAAAGGAGAAAATTCCAAAACCCTAAGTGGTGACAGCGGAACAGCAAGGGTCCAGATGAGATTGTTTCACTAAAAAATAGATGTCGTCATAAGAAAGATGGATTATGATTGCAGCCGCACAGGGATAATGCCAAGTTTTTATCAAATACTCATGTGACAGCAAGGTACAAGTGAAGAACACCGACGAACGCCGATGAACACCGAAGAATATCAAAACCCTAGCAGTAGATCTGGGGAAGAAGGAAAGAAGACTTACAGATGCTGAGGGAGCAGCGGAGAGGCGCCGCATTTCTCTGGTCAAATCAGGTTGATGCAGCGGCCGTTGTTGGGGCAGAGACGGAGGTCGACGGCGGCGGCTGTGCTCGAGCACCGAGGCGACGCGAGGAAGACGACGAGGCGAAGAGGCACGAAAGGGGAAAAGAGAAAATGACCCCTGGTCCTATTTATAAAGCTAAGGGATAGGTGACAGGCACGAGAATCGAGGAGCCCAAAAAATGGATAAGTGAAGAGTTGTCGCCTCGGTTTTTGGAGGTTCATTAATAAAAGGGAAGATGACGTCATGGCAGTTTACTACAATCCGAGAAGATGACGTCATGGCGGTTTACAAGGTTCACATGAAGATTTTCAAGAAGAAAGGTTTCTAAGTGTTGAAGATTGACATGAACAGGTTCGAATCAATCTGGGGGCTAATGTTGGGGATATAACTACTGAGTATAAACCGCCCAGGAGGGGCTGGGTTATACTCATAAGGAGTCATCCGTATTGAAGCCCATGAAGACAAGGAGTATGGCGCTTTACTACAGAGACTTAAAGGCCCAGAGCCCAAAGGCGGATTAGGGCCCGTAGACATAAACCGCCATGTGATATGTAACTTGTATTGTAAGATACGAAAAGGTAGAAACCGAGCCGGACACGTCTATGAGCCGGCCTCGGGATTCTGTAAACCGTCGTGCGTCGACCTGTGTATATAAAGGGACGACCCGACGGCGATTCAGGGACAAGAAACAACAACTCGAGAGTCAGGTAAAGCGGATTCGCTCCCTGATCATCGAGACCCCATCAATTCTACCACAACGGGATCGTAGGCTTTTACCTTCACCGCAAGGGGCCGAACCAGTATAAACTCCCCGTGTCCTTTGTCCGGTTTAACCCCTTTTAAGCTAATCTCGTTGCGATGGCTCCACGACTAAGTCCTCACACTAGGACATCTGACATGATAATTCCACGACACCATGGGTGAGAGTCAAGCCATCATGTGTGTCAAGCGCTTCGCAATCGGAATTGTGTAAGTGTTTGGTCCGGAGTATTTGAGAGCTCCCAATGTTGAAGACGCCGCAAGGCTTTTGGAGATGAACAAAGCTCGCGGGGTTCCTAGGTATGCTTGACTCAATAGATTGTATGCATTGGAGTTGGACGAACTGTCGTAAGGCATGGCATGGGCAATTCCACGACCAGAAAAAGGGTTCCACTATAATCCTTGAAGCAGTAGCCGATAAAGAGACTTGGATTTGGCGTGCTTTTTTGGAATGCATGTATCTTTGAATGGCATCAACGTTCTTAATCGGTCACCACTCATGAATAGGATTGCAAATGGTGAACCGCCACCGGTGCATTTTGTAGCAAATGATCATAAATACAACTATGACTACTATCTTGCGGATGGCATCTATCCAAAGAGGCAAACATTTGTGAAGCCATTGAAAAAACCGGAAGGTAAGAAAAATCTTGATTCCCGAAATGCTCGGGCGGCGGCTAGGAAAGATGTGGAGAGAGCTTTTGGGATTTTTCAAGCCCAATTTGCTATTGTGAGAGGACCGCCTAGATTTTGGGATCAAAAGATCCTTTGGTACATCATGAACGCTTGTGTGATCATGCATAATATGATAATCGAGAATGAGCATGGGCAAGATTTAGACTACTCTCAGTACGAGCTCTTGGGACGTCCAGTGCGAGTGCGACGGAGGGATGAGAGGGTGGCCCGATTGATTGCCTCCTATCATGCCATTCGACGTGCCGAAATGCGTGATGATTTCAGAAGGATCTAATCAAAGAATGATGGGAATGGAATGGCCGACAAAACTAGTGATTGGTATGTTTGATGTTTATTGTTGAACTTTTTGTTGTATTGGAAGATAAATTATTTGTTTGAGTTGTCATAAAATTGAACTATTTATTGTTGATTTATTTTTTTATGTGTTTGATCTTCTTGATTTTGCTTTGAGTGTCAAATGTCGTTTGTGTTGGGCGCGCACGTCCATTTTTGCAGTGCCTGCTGGAGCAGCTTGCGCGCGCAATATTTTACAGCGGCCGCTGGAGTCAGCACTCTGCCGCACTTAAAAGATATACTATTTGGCTTTGCAAATGTTATTTTAGCGCGTCGCGTGTTGCGCGGGGAGATACTCTAAGTAGATCGACGGAGTGTGTAGCAAAGCAAAAAGAAAAAAGGGTGCCTTTGCCGAGCAGGCAACGTACGAATGACATGTCCCGGCCACTCTCTTTGCTCTCAACTTTCTTCTTTCCCTTGTCTGCCCCCTGGCTGCCGCGTCGCGAGGGGACACGCCGCACAGATCCCGGCGACTTGTCCCTCGTCTTGGTTCATCGGTGGAGTGTGAGAAAAGCCACGGCTCCGCTCCATCCAGCATTCCAGCGTTTTTTACTGCACCGAAAAGCTCGAGGAATTTTGACCACTGTTGGGGAGTATACAGCGCGCCCTTTTAGCAGTACCACACCGTTCAACATCGACAAAAGCCACTCTCTTTTGCCAGTCCTCCCTGCGACGCCTGTCTCCACGACTTGACCCGAGATTTACTAGCACAGTGGTGAACTCTGAGCTTCATTGATTCGCTTGCTGCCATGCCATGGAAGAAGAGGCACTGTGGAGACATTAACCGTGGGCGGCAGGGGAAGATGGAGCTGCTAGTTAATGAAGTTGGCGAGTGCAGCGCCGACGCTCCGAAGCCGAATAACTCCGTCAAAAAGGCAGGGAGCTGGAATCGGCATGATGAGATCTCCAATCGCAAAGGCTGCCAGCGCGCAGCGATCCAAGCATACGCCATGTCCCTGCCGTGTCCCCCCGCGCCAGCCGCCAAAACAGCCGTCGTCGACCGCGCGCGCACGCTGACGCCATCCACGATCCAGCGGCAGGGCAACGGGCGACGGGAAAGCGCGGCCGGCCGCGTGTCGGCGTCCGTCCGGCCCGATCGAGAATCCACCGCGCAGCTAGCAAAGCATACGCCACCGACCCCTGGGGTTTCCCGCCTCCTCCCTCTTAAACCCCCCTCTCCCTCCCTCCCTCCCATTGTCCCATGGTGGCAGCAGCCAGCAGAGCACGACGACGCTTCAACACAACGCTTCCGCTGCCGATAGCCCGATACCACGAGTGACTAGTGAGGGTCGATGGCGACGGACGGGGAGTGCTCCACGCCGGGGAAGGGGGCGACGGTCCGGAGCCACAGCGAGGCGGAGCGCAAGCGGAGGCAGCGCATCAACGCCCATCTCGCCACGCTCCGCACGCTCGTCCCCTCGGCCTCCCGGGTACGTAACGAACGTACGTGCCGCCATGGGCACGCGCCAGGCTAGTGGTAGCTCTTGTTCGATTGGCGTCGGCGCAGATGGACCCATTTTAGTGAGATGCATGGTTGCCACGTTCGTGCGTGCAGATGGACAAGGCGGCGTTGCTGGGCGAGGTCGTGCGGCACGTGCGGGAGCTGCAGGGCAGGGCCAACGACGCGACGGAGGGCGTGGTGGACGTCGTTCCCGGGGAGACCGACGAGGTGGGCGTCGAGGAGGACGACTACCTCCTCAACGCCGGGCCGACGGACAACGAACCCCGGTGGCGGCGTCGCGTTCGGGCGTGGGTGTGCTGCGCTGACCGGCCGGGGCTCATGTCGGACTTGGGCCGCGCCGTGCGTTCCGTCGGCAGCGCGCGCCCCGTGCGCGCCGAGATCGCCACCGTCGGCGGGAGGACCCGTAGCGTCCTGGAGCTGGAGCACGTCTGCCACGAGGCCGGACCAGCCAACGACAGGGCGGTGGCGCTCTCCACCCTGCGCGCCGCCCTCCGCACCGTGCTGTTCAACCGGGAGGAGCTCCTCGCCACCGCCGCCGCCGTGGACGGATACAAGCGGCCGCGCCTCTCGCCGGTGCAGCAGCTCAGCTAGGCTAGCCCTAGCTAGCACCCATGCAACGACGCCAGGGCAGCAAAACGGAGGGGACAATGCCGTGTACACGACAGCGCCATGGTTGCCTGTTTCGTGTTGCTACTTGCTACAGGCGAATCTGCGTACGTACGTGTCGTTTCGCCTGCCATGGTCGGTTCGCGTACTTGCAAGCAGCACTAGGAGACCTGTCAGGTATACAACTGTGGCGGTGGTTGAATTTTGCAGCTTGCCTCGTGTGGTGCACTCTTGTGTTTTTTAAATTTTTTTCATCAAGTTTGGATTGAAAAAAAAAGACACAACAGTTGTGGTGCACTGTTGTGCTGAATTCTTCTGCCCATCGGTACTTCAGAACAGGCTGAGCAATAATCGATCGTTCCAACTGGTTCGCAGACCACCGCAATGTTTTGTCTTAATAACACACGGCCTTAATTTCAACTAGCAAAAAAGACCGCGCCTTGCAATACAAAAAAATACCACGCGGCCCTAACAAAATAATCATGACTGAAGACCTTAATGATTCCACGTGCATCCCATTTATGTTGTCACTTATCCTTCTTCCCACTCTTGTCAACGGCGGCTTCAGTGCTCACAATCACCACTCGCTTGAATGTTACGAATTTTAAGGTGTCTCTCTTTCTCTCCGCATAAGATGAGAAATCTATTTTTTTTCACCAGGAGGTTTTACCGAGTCATGCATGCTTGGTTATAGATGGTTTTTCTCTTCTCCTAACTAATTTTGTTGAGGTGTTGATTTCTAACCTGGTCTACACTGGTACGAAAGAAAGATGGATCATGCGCTATTGATTAATATTATCCCCTAAATAGCATTTAAAAAATGTTTAACAGGTAAAAGAACATCATATTCAGATTCTACACATTTTTCTAATCAATTTCCATATATATAATGTCAAAATCGTAGTTAGGGTTTAGAAGATATGAATATTTTTAAAAGGCATTTGAATCACATTTTTAAAAATATTTAAGAGGTAAAATAACATCATATTTAGATTCTAGACATTTTCTAATCAATCTTCATATATGACATGTCAAAATTGGAGTTAAGATTTAAAAGATGTGGATATTTCAAAATAGCATTTGAATCTGTCCAAAAAAAATGGATGGCGGGTTGATTAACTAAAAGATCAAGGCCTCATTCAGTTTGAAGGATTTTCATGGGAAAAACATAGGAACAAGGAATCCGGAGGAAAGTTTCCTATAGATGCATTCGGTTTGTAGGAAATGTGTACATTAGGAATACTATTCATTTCCTATGTTTTTTGAGGAAACTAGACATCCACTCAAAGCTCATTTTGCGCGTAGAAACGAGGCAAGTCAATTCCTTTGGATGGCAAGTGTCATCCTATCAAATTCCTATACTAATCCTAATTCCTATGTTTTGGTATCCTCCAAACCGTATGAGCCCCAAGGGGTTTTCCGGAAAAACGAGTCATTTTTTCTACTTAAATTTAGGATTGCGGGTTCATTAACTAAAAGACCAGGTTTTTTTTGAAGAAATGAAAACGAATCATTTTCCTACTTAAAATAGAACTGTGGGTTGAATTCTCAAAAATAGAGGGACTTTTCTGCAAAACAGACGCAACGTACAACCAAAAGCACTAGCCGCTTTATCATTAGGTAAAAATAACTGATAGCACTTGTAGTAGAGTCGTCCTATTGGTGCGGTCATCATAATAACTATTAATATGATGATTTAAGTTAAATAGCATTCTAAAAGAGTGGTCATTCAGCCCCTTATCGTCATTTTCAGGAACCCGGGGCCGTTGGTTTGGAGCGTGGTTCATCCACCAATCGCTTGCGCACAAAGAAAATTTCATCTCCCTCCTTAGCCTTCTGTGCGGCCCATCTTCTCTCCTTGCCCATGGCGCAGACGGCCATGGCATAGGGAAGCATGCCAATTAATGGCAGCCACCAATTGCCAATTGCTCGCGACCACTCTCGCCACATTTCCCACCATATTTTTTCGACTCGCGCCACATTTACCCGTCGCTCGCCATAAGTGGCTATAAAAAGGACATCGCCATGGCCGACTAGCTCTCAAACTTCACTTCAACACTGTTGTTCATCACCACTTTCTTCTTCCTTGTCTCCATGACGTTTCCCCTGCAGCCGGATTGGGTGCCGCAATCAGAGGAGGAACAGCGGTTGTTGGATGAGGAGATGGAGGATGGTCGTTATGTGTTGGAGACCACCCACAAGGATCATGCCCTTGATGAGTGTCCGGATTGAAATCCCAGAACACAACCATTGTATGAGATATACAACACATGTACATTGCAGATCCCGTATGAGCAGGAGAGGGCTCGCCCACACAGCTCATCTCGGGTACCATGTCTTCCCCATCGTGTATATGTTAAGAAGGCATGGGATGAGCGCTACGCTGCCCACACCTCATCCGCCCGTCCCGATGAAATTTCAAACATAGCGACACTGGGAAGGTATTGCGGGTAGAGAGCGGCCGCACCATCTGGCTACAATATGAAGAGAAACATGTGGATCTGGCGTACATTCGACATGAACATGATGACACTCATCAAGATGGCGCCCTCTTGAGCGTCCCCCTCCTGAAAAATCCGTCTCCGGACTCAATGGTAATGGTAGGAAAGAGATAAAGATGAGATCGTCAGACCGTCACATCGCCGGGCATAGAGGACAAGCTGACTCGTCACACATGCATGTGCCCGATGCACTCCATCATTGCCCTCGTGGTGAGGAACAACTAATGCATGTCCTAACACATAAAAAAGTCAATAGTTTAGTAAAAAAATGTCGATAAGTGATTTTTCTACCCCTGTGTAGCCACTTTGTAATGCAATGTTAGCTCAAATTAGTGTTTTAATCACTCTGATTGAGTGTGTGAAATTTTGAGTTGGTGCAACAAAAAAATAGAAAATATATAAAGCTCACATTATGCGACTCTATGTTTGCGCACAACAGCCATGGCCTCTTATCCATATGAATGTGCTCCATATCCGATATGACTCTGTTGGCCTAACCCATAGCCTCGTAGCATGAATCTACTACTTCCATCAAAGTTGCTTAAGCTATATTGAAATTTCTGAAGAACAATTTGTGCTCGATAGATCAATCAGATGTGAAATTTACTCAATTATGCTAAAACACTGATTTTGATATTTGTCATGCAACTGAAAAAGTTTTATCTTCAGTCCATTCTTCCATTGCATATAGACAAGGTAGCAAGGAGCACTAAAGCCCTCATCCCCACATGGGGAGTCTGTGGCCTCCACGGTGAGGGCAAGACAAGAATAAGCAGGAGATAGCGATGTCGCAGCCGCCATGGTGTTACCTATGGGAATGAGCCAAAAGCTTGACACGGGCCGCCAGCGCCGAAGAAGGGTGGGCTTGGAGGGATGTGGAGGCATGGGAGCAATGCTAGACTTACGTAAAACAAACTACGGGTTTTACGTAGTGGTGGATCGGGATTAGAGTTAGAGTTAGGAAGAGGAAGGGACCCATCCCATTGAAATTCACGAGGGAGGGGGTGGATTAGTTGGAAGCTCTGATTTCGAGTCGCTTGACTAGTCGTCGACTAGTCGACGAGTCGCAATTGCAGGAGTGACTCAGGTTCTCGACTCGCCTCCTGGCATGAGTCGAGCGACTTGAGCGACTAGTCACGAATAGTCGCTCTGTCCGAGTCGAACGACTCACTTATTTTGGGCCCCCAATACTTATTTGTTTTTAAACAATATTTGCTTGGCCCATCAGCCCATCCCACCCTTGGAAACCTATGGATCGATCCATCCCCCTCACCCTGACCTAACCCTCTCCCTGGCAGCTGCCTTCGCTCCTCCCCTGGCTACTGCTGGTGGTGTGCTCCTCCCCTCCTCCTCTGGTTGTTGCCGCTGTTGTGCTCCTCCCCTCCTCCTATGGTTGTTGCTATTACTGTGCTCCTCCACTCCTCCCCTGGCTGATGCTGCTGCTGTTGTGCTCCTCAACTCCTCCCCTGGCTGATGTTGCTGCTGTTGTGCTCCTCCACTCCTCCCCTGGTTGTTGCTGCTGATGTGTGCTCCTCCCCTGGTAAGTACTATCATGCATCCTCTTTCCTCTCTTTTCCTTTTGCTCTGATCTAGATGTTGTTTCTGCTGGTTGGACCTCTAGTGTTTCTGCTAGTTAGCTTAGGGCTTGATTTGGTGAGAAAAACAACTAAGTGGAGTTATCTTTCCTTCTATCATAGATTCACAGCAAGCACCATGTCCTCCCAGCCAGAGATATCCCAAGTTGTTCGATTAGCTCAAGCTGCAGAAGAAGCTGATGAGCACTATGATCCATTCAAAGATCCTAAGCGGAGGCCAACAAAGAGCAAGGATCCAGCATGGAAATATGCATTCTGGACAGATCTTAACAAGAGGTTGTTGCTGCAATGTAATTTGTGCGGCAAGCAAATTACCTCTGGACCTTGTAGGATGAAGAAACACCTTGCTAGAGGGTTTACAATTGTGAGTATGTGCACCAAAACAACCCCTGAAATTTGAAAGGAGATGCACGACTACTTGAGGACTCACTCATTCCGTTTCAAAAATCTTGATGGAGATGAAGGTGGTGAAGAAGATGGTGAAGAAGGTGCTGAACAAGAGAAGTGTGCAGCAAGTTCAAGAGCTTCCAACTCCAATGCCTCCACCAAAAGGAAATCAGAGGGGACTACTCATTTGGCATCGACAATGACAAAGAAGCAAGGAAAGTCCATTGCAGATCAGATTCGAAAGACACTGGAAGAGGTGGTTGCCGAGAGACATATGTCAAAGGGCACTCAAAAGACCATGAAGGATTACAACAAGAATATAAAGGAGCAAAAAGATGAAGTAGATGGTCATGTAGCTGACTTTTTGTTTGAGAATTGCCTTCCACTCAATATTGTCAATTCAAGGAGTTGGGAGATTCTATTGGAATCTATAGGGCAGTATGGCTCTGATTATATATCACCTACTTATCATCAAGTGAGGGAACCATTGCTTGAGAAGGCA